TTTTTTTTTTACTGTTGGCTCCTTTCATTAAATGTCTGAGCCCAAACCTAAGTAAGAGATAGATCCATAATCACTGTGTTCACCATTTATTATTTAATTACTGTTTTTGTGTATTATCCTTTATTATCCAATTCTGTTTATGTCCTGGGTTAGGTACATGTGATTCTCTTAGAGATTACACTCAAAGAATCAGGACAAAGGCAAGGACAGACACCATCGATGGCTAAAAAAAAGTCTTAAATCAACCCAACAGGATAGTAACATGCCATGAACTATGGTGACAACATAGTTATTGTTACATACTGAAAAGCAGATCATTCCTTTCAAATAGAATGTCATGTTAAAAAAAAAAAAAAAAAAAGGTTGGCCGACAGGAAGTTGTCGGTCCTACCCACCTTTCTCAGCCAGGTATGTCTGTTGATGGCCTGCTCTGTATCCAGCACTGTGCTCTAGAGCACAAGACAGCGTTTGCCCTCGGTCAATGTGCCATGAGGGAACTCTACATCTGAGAACATCTTCCACTCCCAAGTTTTACCTTTCCCCTTCCTATTCATTCAACAAACTGTTTGCTGAGCTGGTTCTAGGGACACAACAGTCAACAAAACCAAGCTTCATCAAGAACATAATGATGCCACCTGCCCCCTTACTTCCTCCCTCACAGGCAGTGTCCCCACATCTCAAGAGGCACTAAATGAAGTTACTAGTTCAGAAGGTCTGCTCGGGCAATAGATCTGTATTCTATTGATTAATGTGGTGGAGCAGAGGAGAGCCAAGCAAGGACTATATCATTTCAGTGTGGCTATAGGGACTCCATGCCTCGGCAAGCAATGTCAAGACAAACCCACAGCTCCCTTTGGGCCAGGGTTCCTGGGAGAGCTGGAATCTCAGCGGCTGTTTAAGCAATGTGGAAGAGAAAGGACACATATATATATATTTTTTGTCATTTGCTTAATAAAAATATCATGGTTAGTAGTGGTCGAAATGCTGCGGGGACAGGTGTTCTCTCTCACCTTGATGTCATGGGCCTCAGAAAAGATGTCAATGCCTAAATGAGAATGCATGATTACATGGGAGCAAAGGTAGATTTTCTTTATTTTCCTGGAAGAGCAAGGGGTGGAATGGGGCCTAAGGCGGTAGTTGCTATGTAATTATTGCTGCCAGGATGGTGACTTTTTTAAGGCGAGGTAAAGGCATATCTGGGCAACCCGGCAGGTGTGAGGGGTGGCCAAATGAGCCACACAGAGAACTGTTCCACAAGCAGCAAGTTTTTAAGTTAACAACTGATGGGTTCAGACTCAATGGTAGTAAGGAGCCAGTGTGTGGCATCCGTCTACTCCCAAGCCTCTCCCAGAAATGTCAGGTAAGGATTTTTGTTTACATTTGGCTCAGTCATTGAGGACAAAGAATTCTTAAAAATGGAATGTTACCCCTACTTCACACCGTATACCAAAATTAAATCAAAATGGATTGAAGGTCTAAATGTTGTAAGGATGAAACTCTTAGAAGAAAACATAGGGGTAAATCTTTATAACCTTAGACCCAGCAATGAATTTTTGGACATGACTCCAAAAATCACAGGCAACAAAATAAAAATGGATTAATTAGAGTTCATCCAAATGAAAATTTTTTGTGCATCGAGGAACACTGTCAACAGAGTGAAAAGGCAGTCCACAGAAAGGGAGTAAATATTTGTAAATCAAGGGATTAATATCCAGAAGATATAAAGAGCTCTTACAACTCAATAACAAAAAGACAATCCAATTAAAAAATGGGCAAAGGATTTGAATAGATATTTCTCCAAAGAAGACATACAATGGCCAACAAGCACATGAAAAGGTATTCAGCATTATTAATCATTAGGGAAATGCAAATCAAAACCACAGCGAGATACCAGTGCACACCTACTAGGATGTCTAGAATCGAGGGGAAAAAAAAAGAAACAAAATAGAAAGTAACAAATGTTGGCAAGGGTGTGGAAGAATTGAAAACTTTATATGTTGCTGATCCCAATATAAAATGGGGCAGCACTGTGGAAATAGTTTGCCAGTTTCTCAAAAGTTAAACACAGAATTGCCATATGACCCAGCAACTGTACTCTTAAGTTTTTACCCCAAACAATTGAAAACAGGTATTTAAAAAAATACTTGTACATGAATGTTCATAGCAACGCGGTTCATAATAGTCACAATGTGAAAACAACTCATGAATGCATAAACGAAATGTGGATTATCCATACAATGGAATACTAGTCACCAGAAAAAAAGAATGAAGAGCTCATATATGCTACGTATAGATGAACTTTAAAAATATTATATTAAGTGAAAGAAACCAGACACAGTAGGTCACATATTGTATGATTCTATTTATTTGAAATATCCAGAATAGGTAAATATGTAAATACTGAAAGCAAATTAGTTGTTATCAGGAGCTGGAGCAAAGAAAGGGAGTGGCTGCTTAAAGGTCATGGGGTCTCTTTTGGAGGTGACAAAAATGTTTTGGAACTGATAGAGGTGATAGTTGCACAACATTGTAAATGTACTAAATGCCACTAAATTGTATGCTTTAAAAAGGTTAATTTTATGTGAATCTCACCTCAAGTTTTAAGAAAAGAATGGAAGGTTAACCTTTCAAAAGCTCACCCTTATAAAGTGAGAGAAGTGAGTAGAGAGTGGAGAGGATGCTATTCTCAGCCAAAAGATTGGAACTTTTTACCCTCTTGGTCAAGGTAGTGCCATGCAGAGATGAAGTCCTTGGTACTACAGCCCACATGGGCACCAGTGAGGTGACTGCACCGGGACATCTCCACAGAAGGCCAAGGTTCCCTCTCTGGCCAGGAAGATGGCGGTGTGGCACTATAGAAGGGGACGAGCAGGCGATCAG